AAGTATATATAAACAATTCTTTATGGTTTATAACATTTAAAGAATTTTCAAAACAATTAGCATTATAGTTCATAAACTATATAGTAGTAAATCAAATTTTAAATTAATAAGGAATTTGTAAAATGGGTAATCACACCGCGCGAAGCGCGGCCAAATTCACTAGTTACTTATAAATTAGTGTATATACATTTGTCTTGCTTCGATTTTTTTAATAGAACTAAAATCAAATCAAATCAAATATTGTCAGTTTACAAAATTCAAAATCAAAGCAAGCAACACGATACATGTTGATTTATTTAATCGATTTGGTTTGTGATTTCACCGAATGGGGAATGAGAAACAACTAATTTAAGATATTCCTGCTTTTAATGAAGAATTAACCATGAGTAAGTTATCTTTTGAGTTATTTATTCTATATTATTAGTCAATCTTGCAATACTAATGTTTCATGCTTACATTTGATTTTAACTAGCAAGTAAATAGTGTTGACACCCAATTTTGGACCTCCACAATATAAATTAATCATCAAGCTTCCTCAATTTCAAACGATTTAAAAGAATTATTTTTTATAAAATATTTTCAAGTTATTTTTATGTAATTGTGTCACTTTGGCAATTTTTAAATAATAAATATATTTTATATATAATTTTTTATATGGTCAGCATATTTTAAATGTTTCAAAAAACGCTTTTGTTTGTTTAATTAAATGTTTTGTTAATTAATTTAGTTAATCAATAGTTTATATTTCTTAAATTAATTAGTGTATGATTAAGTTAATTATTTTATTTCATTAATATTAAGAAGCTTGTTAATTAATTAATATTAATTCATCTTATTTGAATTTTACCCAAATTTGCTAATTAACTCAATTTGGTTAACTTCTTAACTTAAGTTGGCTAAATTTGCAAATCATATGGCTATTCTCTTATTACAAACCTAGCCCTTCCTCACCTTGGCTTCAACCCCTTTTAAAGGCAACTTTGGGCGAGATTCAATTAGCAGCCCACCCAATTCCAAATACTAAATTTTCCAGCCCATTCCAATCTTCCCAATCAACAGAAACCCATCCCATACCCATTAGAAACCCAGCCCGCAACAATACAATACAACAACATACAACAGCAATACACCGACAATACCCGACGCGTACATCAAAAATCCACTGACCCTGTACTGTTCTTCTTCCTCGCGATAGCAACTCAGAAAATGAGTGCGAAATCCAGCAAAGAATCGCAACTCGAGCTCAGCTCGCGCGTTCCCGTCCTCGCATAGCCTCTCGTACATAGAACGTTGGAGAATAATTCAGGTGTCTCGATCTTGCACACCCAATCGTCCTTCACTCATATCGGATGACCATAGTTCCCATTCCGTTAAAATTTGTACGATTCGTGGCTGTCCAACCTTATCCTCAAGGAGGGAATTCGAATTTCGAATCAGCCTAGTCTCCCTCTATATAAACTCTCTTCTTTTCAGTGTAGAGGGTTGGACGGAAAAATGTTGGAGAAAATATTGAAACTTAACTAGCATTAGAGAGGAAGAAACACACTTAAACCATATAGTTCTTGAAAGCATAGAGAAATCGGAAATTCCGATTTCGTTCAGTCTTTGCTCTAGTTTGTTTTGTTTGTTCGTCCAAGTTCTCGGAATCGTACCTTAGTGGTGGTTAAGTCATTTCAAGCTCGTTGTCCCACGTCTCTGCTCCAAAAGAGGTATATTTCGTCATTTCATTCTTGAATCGTATTTTGTGCTTTGGTTTTAAGTCCATTATCTAGCTGCTGATATGGCTCAATGCTTTGTTTCTGGTTTTTAGTGTGGTTGTATTAGTTCTCAATAGATATACATTGTTTTCTTCCGTTTGTTTGGATTCAAAATGATTTGAATGTGTATGTATGGAGGCTGGAGGACTGATGTTTGACTACTTTGCTACCGATTGCTGCTTGTATTTCTCCTCTGCCTTAACTTGACTTTCAAAGTGATGTCTTTATAGCTTGGGTTTGAATTCAGTTCAAAGCTTATCCATTTAGATAGTAGCATTTAGTGTTGTCTAAGTCCGTTTCCAGATGACTTGTTTCTGATCACCTGCTTAAGATTTTAGTCTATTTCAAGTCCTTGTTTTCCTTTAGGTTACTGCTTACTCTACTTTGTTAAATTTCTTACCTTAATTTCTCCAAGTTACGTGTGTGATTTTAATATTAGCAAAATATGAGGCAAATTTGTGCTTCCTCTTCAGTTAAGTGTATTGAGTGTTACTTATTCCCTTTTCCAAATCTAGTCTTGTTTTAGGTATCATGTGTTCTTCATTAAATTTGTTGAATTCATCATGGATTGTTTTACTATTTGTTGATCGATTTCGTAAATATTAATTTGACCTGGTTAGCTTAAGAAAGAATAATACTAAGCCATTTTCTTCTTTTCTTTTACTATGCATGAACTTGGCCCGAGTCTTCATGGACTCCTCATCCCTCATTTGCGTTATTGAGTTTTCAAGTCTACCCCTACTGGTTGTAAGCTGATGCGCACAAGAAAGAAGGGAACAAAATACAGGTGTCAAAAGCGAAAACAGGCTGATATGCGATCTGTATACACTCGGTATACATCGATATACAGGGAAAATGCTGAAATACTAGGCCCAAAATTGAATTACATGTTTCAGAGGCTAAAAGGTGGTCGTATACAACTGTATACAATCAATATACACGTGGTATACGCCTGATATACAGGGAAAAACAACCAATATACACTGATATACAGAAATTGTATATAACTGATACAGGGACGGAAATGAGCCCAAAACAGAGTGTAGCAGCAGCAGATGTTCAATAGAACAAGTTTGTGGGCTCAATTTGTTTGGGCAGAAATTGGGCCACTAGCCCAAATTATTCTTAATTCATTTGATTGTGATTACTTCTTGTTTATTTTGTATTAATTCTAGCTTTGTGTGGTTTAAATTTAATTAAATTCCCTAAAGATGAACCACTTTTGATTATGATAATTCATTTAATTAGTTTTCTTTACTTGGTCATTTTTTTTGAAAAGTTTATTTTTCTTTTGAAATTATTTCAAAGTGTTTAAGTTAAATTGTTTTCTTTCAAATAATTATTATATCCTTTTTCTTTAATTAATTTTAAAAATTAGTCAAATGTTTTAGTCAAGTCGTTGGTCAACCGCAAGTTAGCGGACATTCCGAGGGCCTAACACCTTCTCGGAATGTACATTGAACTCGAACCCTTTTATTTTTATTTGATTTTATCTGTTTAAGTCTTTTGAAAACCTTAAGTTTTTTCTTGATTTTTACTAAAAAATTAAGTGGTGACTCTATTCTTTTGGAAGATCGATTTCTCTTCAACACATAAGTTAAGTCGATTTTTTTTTCGAAACAAGTCCATTTTTATTTTATTTTTTCGAGTAAAACAAATAGTAGTACAGACGTTCAAATTTGGCTAATAAGAAAATGAACACTTCAATTTTGAATATGCATATCTAGATATCTTAACTTATTTTTACTGTGTCAATTGGACACTACAATATCCAAAATGATCATTTAGACACCTCGAAAAATTGTGTTTCATGCCATAAGATGTCCATGAAACATAATAGGGACGAGCTAAAGTATTTTGTTATCAGTTGAGACCAAGTTAAGATGTGCACTCTCAGAGTTGGAGTATTTACTTGTAGCTGAGAGTCAGGGGCGGCTCAACGTAATTGGGGGCCTAAAGCGAAATTTCAATTCACGGCCTAAAATATAAATACACTTCATATACGTATTTATTCAAAAAAAAAAAATTAACACTATTTAGATGAAAATTATTAGTACTTAATATTGTTTTTTCAATTACTAGTTGTAGATAAGATTTTATCAACTCAACATTGAAATAAGTGAGACGATTATTATATGTATTGTTAACATAATGATATAAGTAATAAGTTGATAAATATTAAATAAAGATAAGAGTTAGAACCATATAATTTGACTCAAAAAGTTGATGACTTGGTATACTTCATTTTAATATGCTTAGAGTAATGCTTGAAACTAAAATTTAAAAAGAAATAAAAAATAATTTGTAATTCACTTTGTTCAACACTTTTCACTGTTAATTCTTATTTTTAACAAAGTACAAAAGATGTTAAAGTGGATAAAATAATTTATTTTAAAAAAAATTTATACTTTTTATCATAAATAATTATTTTTTCTATAAAAAATTTAACACATAATTTATTCTTCACAAAAAATTGGGGCCCCCGAAATTTGGGGGCCTAAGGCAAAGGCCTTATTTTTGAAAGCATACAGCCGGCCCTGCTGAGACAAGCTAAAGTATTTTGTTATCAGTTGAGACCAAGTTAAGATGTGCACTCTCAGAGTTGGAGTATTTACTTGTAGCTGAGAGCCTGAGACCAAGTTTATGTATCATGTTTATGTATTATGCCTTAGGTTTATGGACAATTATTATTTTTGACTTGATTGTCAAAGCACCAATTGGTATAGTTCATTTGATTAATGTTTTCTTAATTTGCTGATCTATTAATTGACAACTGTAGAGATGCTTGTTTTATTCAATCAGAACAAATAAAAAAAATTGTGCTTTTAAAAGGGATGGGAAATACATTATTATATATACACCTACTGGCATAGTTATACAGATAACACAACTGGCAGACTTAGTTTTCTTTAGTAAGTCAAATAGTTTATTCATAAACACTAACATGGTGTTGGAAATTAAATTAATTAAAGAGTATTACTAGGGTATCAAAATGTGCTGATTGAACTGAATTTGAAAATATCAAAACAAGTTGAGTTAATAAATGAGCAGGTCATTTGTCCCGCTTATATGTTATTTGGGCTGAAATGAGCTAAAAATCGAGTCATAACCCAACCTATCCAATTATTAGTAAATTTTGAATTCAAAGTTTTTTCTTATAACAAAAAATTTCTCTCCTTGCAAACAGAGCTTGTTCATCTTCAAACATTCCATTTACAATATTTTGATTAATCTTGAATACTTATGGAAGCTTATAGTGCTGTAATTTCTCTTCTTCAATCTCTTGATAAACGAAATTTTCATGAACTCTTTCACGGTCACACTGCTGAAATGCTCGATTCTCTTCGTGCTATTGCTGAATATTTCCAAAAAGTTCTTGATGAATTTGAACCTGGAAAAATCAAATCTTTGGAGGAAAATATTAGAGTTGCTGCTAGTGAGGCAGAAGATGTTGTAGAGTTGAAAACTCATCAAATCATCAAAGGCTCAAGCTGGACATTTGGAATTTTACAACACCAGGATTTGCTACCAGTTGTTGAAAAAATGGATACAATAAAGAAACAAGTGATGGAGATTGTTTCTCATGATGCTGATCAACTTCTTGAATTAACCGGGGATTCCTTGATTGACACTTCTTCTACAAGCTATGCAATGCTGTCAGATAAGTTGGAAGATGATCACATCGTGCAAGGAATTGATGATGACTTGGAGATCATAGTTAAAAGATTGATAGGACCATCATCGGATCTAGAGATTGTCACAATAACAGGCATGGGTGGCATTGGCAAAACAACACTCGCAAGAAAAGCTTATGATCATCTCCCAATCAGGTATCACTTTGACATTCTTGCTTGGGTAACAATATCTCAAGAATTTCGGAATAGAAAAGTATTGTTAGAAGCTTTACATTGTATTTCAAAGTCAACAGGTCGTTCTAATGCAAAAGATTATAATGAGATGGATGAAAATGAGTTAGCTGACCTAGTCCAGAAAAAACTAAAGGGTCCAAGATACCTTGTTGTTGTTGATGATATTTGGAGTACAAATGTTTGGGATAGCATAAGTGGAATATTTCCTAATTATAAAAATGGGAGTCGAATCTTATTGACTACTAGGGAAACTGAGGTAGCGATGTATGCGAATACCTGTAGCCCTCATGAGATGAGCCTTTTGAGTTTAGACAACGGTTGGAGGTTACTTTGTGATAAGGTGTTTGGAAGAAAATATGAACATCCTCCTGAATTGGATGAAATTGGAAAGGAAATAGTAGAAAAATGTCAAGGACTACCCTTAACAATTTCAGTGATTGTGGGACATCTCTCTAAAGTGGCCAGGACATTAGAAGGTTGGAAGGATGTTTCCCGAAACTTAAGTGAAATCATTGCTAGTCATCCAAATCAATGCTTAGGAGTGCTCGGTTTGAGTTACCACCACTTGCCTAATCGCCTCAAACCTTGCTTTCTTTCTATGAGTAGTTTCCCAGAGGATTTTCAGGTTGATACTCGGAGATTGATTCAATTATGGATTGCAGAAGGTTTCATCAGGATTTCTGAAAATGGTAAAAGTTTGGAGGAAGTGGCAATAGATTATTTGGAGGATCTAATTAGCAGAAACTTGATACAGGCTAGAAAAAGGAGATTCAATGGTGATATAAAAGTATGTGGAATACATGATCTACTGCGTGAGTTCTGTTTGATAGAATCTAAAATGACTAAGTTTATGCATGTTGAGAGAACTCACCCAACTATTCCAACACAAAAGCACAATGTCCGTCGCTTCAGTTTTCAAACAAAGTTTTATTCAGTGGAAGATTGTTGTAAGCTATTACCCCCTGTTGCAAGATCTATCTACTTATTTTCTCACTTGGATCAACCTCTTGAACCTCATATTAAGATTCTCGGGATATTGCCCATCTACCGTCGTAATCTTATTGTTGACACCCAATTTTGACCATCCACGATAGGAATTAATTTTGAGCTTCTTAAAATTCCAAACGATTTGAAATAAGTGACTTTATAAAATTCAAAATATTTTTTCAAGTTATTCTAAATAGTTTTGTCACTTTTTATAATTTTTAGATAATATAGATGTTTTACATAATTATGTAGGTAAATTAGTATATTTTATAAATATTTGAAAATCGTCTCAAAGAGATTTTAATTTTACTTAATTAGTTGGCTAATTGGTTTAGTTAGTTAATACTTATATTTTGAGTTAATTGGTTTTTAATTAAGTCGGTTAATTTTATCTTGTTAAGATTAAGAAGCTCGTTAGTTAATTAATAGTGATTCATCTTATTTAATTTTTAGCCGAATTCACTAACTAAATCAATTTGGCTTTCTCTTAAACTTTGGTTGGCAACAATTGCAATTATTTGGGCCCTTCTTGTATTTTCCAGCAGCCCAGTCTTTCCCTCAGCAAAATTCCAAATAACCTAGGCCCAACACCCAGAACTTTCAGCCCACAACACAAAAGACCCATACATACAACACCCAACCCAATTCCAATAAAAGATCCACTGCCTCTGCTACTCTTCTTCTTCAGAAAATAGCATCCAGCAGCCCAGCAGAAACGAACACGCAAGCCAGCAGAAGACAGCAACTTTGTTGTCTCCTTCCTCCGATGTCCCTTTCAAATTGTACAGTAGCAGTAGGGCACGCGTCCTGCCCCTTTCCTCTTTCGGAATGAGTTGAAATTGTGAGAAAAGAGTGTTTGTCCAAATTGGTGAAAGAGTTTTTGTTTTTGAATTTCGAATTTGGGCCTTGGTCTGCGGGATTTTCGTTTTTCCCCCCCATTTTTTGAATCCTTTTCCCTTCTATATAATGGCTCTTATCACTGTTGAGCAGGGGGAATTTTTGGAAGATTTTTTTTTTAGTTGAAAATTTGGAGTCAAGAAAAAGCAAAAGATACATAGATTTTTTAAAAAGAAAAATACAAACTTAAGAAATCAAGCGTTATAGAGTTTATTCAAGCGTCGATCTCTTTTTCCGAGACATTCTTGCTACTCGTCGGAGCTCTCGGAGTTTGTGTGTGGTGGTGGAAGCTCTTTCGTGGTCAGTTCGTTAATGTCCTAGTTGCTGCCCAGGAAAAGGTAACATTTCCCCCTTTATAATATCCCTCCTTTCCATTAAGACATGACGTTACTAGCTGCGTTTGTTCTCTGTTATTCACTACCGAGCTGTGGGTGTTTTTATTAAGCGACTTTAGTGCCTACTCTTAGTGCTGATTCAAAGTTTTCTTTTTGCTGTTTTGTAGTCGATGCTTCTTTGTTTCGAATTTGTTTTATCGCTTGCTTCTCGTTTATTTGTCTTGATGTTTGAACTCGTATCCCCTTGTTTTTCGTTGTCTTAAACATCCGGGTTTATTCACTTCGTTACTGTTAATGTTTTTTGCTTTCCTTTTGAAATGAGGGCAGAGCCTAAAAAGTAAAAAATAAAAATCTTTGAGTATGAAGTTGTATATTGTCTTAGCTATTGTTTGATGGGCTGTAGGAGTTGGTTTTTATCCATTTTCGGGAACCATGACGTTCTTACTGTCCTGCAGGTCATGTTTGAATTAAGTTTATGTCTCTATTTTGCTTAAATTTTAGTCGAAATCGCTTACCATTTGTAATCTAGTTCCAATTGCGAGCTTTATAGAATACTTAAGACTATACCATGTGGTCTTTCTCACTGATCAGATTGTTGTCTGGTATACCCCCTTTACACTTTAAGTTGTCACTTGTCCATTGTAATGCCATCTGCCATTGCTACATCTATGTTTGCTTGCTTTACCAAGATTATTTTCTTTCATACGTATGTATTCTTGGTTCTCTCCAAGTTTGGACTTTCCACAATTTAGTATTAGGATTTTGTTGATCATACTAGTTTTGATTACTTCCTTGTTTAGCCTTATTTTTACCCTTAAACTTCAATGGTTTTTTTTTTTTTTTGTTGAGTTTGTCACTGTTAAGGGGCCAAATGTCTGTTGATTAATATTCAGTAGCTCATCTTTTGTATTCTTAGAAGTTCTAACAGTAGACCTTGGCAGTGGTCCCCTTTTGGTCTTGAGATAATTAAGTTGACTTTAATTTTCAATTAAGTTATGTCTCATTTGCTTCCTTATCTTCGAATGCTAATTTTGTTTTCTTTCTTTTGTTGCGTGAACCTTTCCCCGAGCCCGTGGTGGACTCCTTCTCTCTTGCATCCTCGAGATGAGCCGTAGAGGCTTAATTTATTTATTTTTTCTCCATCGAGTCGGCCCTCCAGCAAGCAGGGACTGATGTACAGGTCTTGGAGAAGTAAAAAATCGGACTGTATACATGACCTATACAGCTGTATACACAAGTATACACGGAAAAACAGTGATATACAAGTCCAAAAATTGAAACAGGTGTTCTGGAAGATGAATTAGGTTGTATACATTCGGTATACAGTCTTATATACAAACAAAATGGGCTGGGTTCATACGATATACACTGATATACAACCAGTGTATACAAAAACGGGATTGAGCCTAAGCCTAAAATCAGCAGCGAATTTGGCCCAAGAAGGGCCCAAATTCAATTTCTCCCTTACTCTTTAATTATTTAATTATGATTATTTATTGTTTGATTGCGTGTTGACTCTAACTTTTAAATTGTTAACTAACCTAATTAAAATTCCCCAAACGATAAGTTAATTTCTTTACATTGGCTTACCTTTAATACATTCTTATATTTGTTTTTGTATTCATTTTATCTTACTAATCAAATATATTAGCCATATTTCATTTTAATTAAATCTTTTGTTTTTTTTAAAAGGACATGTTTTGAATGCCTCTTCCTTTAATCATTTTGCTTATTTAAATGGTTTTAAGTTAACACTTTTCTCAAATGAACTAAAATAAAATAAAATTGTGTGTGTTCTCTTTTATCAATTGATTTAAAAATGGTCTCATGCTTTAATTGGTTCAAATTATTATCTAAAAAAAATAAAATAAATTAAATAAATTTTAATTATCTAGTTTTATTGAAATTCTAATTACTTATATCACAAGCCAAATGTGTCATTTTGAATTCTTTTCTCTAAAAAAGAAAAATGTGTCGTTTATCTAATTATTTTCTCGAAATTAATTAAATATTGTAATTTTTTTAAAAAATATTCTTATGTTAAATTTCTCAAAATTAGTCAAAGTCATTTTAGTCAATTCGCCGGTCAACCGCGAGTTAGCGGGCATTCCGAGGGCCTAACACCTTCTCGGAATGTACATTTGAACTCGAACCCTTTTTTCAATTGATTTTATCTGTTTAAGTCTTTTGAAAAATCTTGTATTTTTTCTTGATTTTTTACTAAAAATTAAGTGGCGACTCTGTTCTTTTGGAAATTCGATTTCTCTTAAACCATAAGTTTAATCGATTTTTCAAAACTAAGTCATTTCCTTTTACATACCTTTTTTAAGTAAAACAGAAATGGCGACTCTGCTGGGGAGCTAATTAAGTTATAACCATAAGATTTGACTTATTTGACTAATTGTACTAATTGCTAAATTGTTTATCTGCTCTCAACGTGTTTAATTTATTATAATTGTCATTGCATTCATGGCATCTTCCTATTATATGTATAGTATATTAAGGACGGTTTCTGCATAATCGCAGCCGGACTTCTTATACTCAACCCTTTTTCGAAAGGATCGGCAATTTATTGGTACGTCATGCGTCCAATGGTTGTCGTGAATTTCAGCCTAAGTTGTCCACTTGGGTTCCCGATCTTTCAAAACCACTCTTAGTCAACTAGTGTAGAGCGAAACCAAATACCAAATTTAGCGCATTTTGAACTAAGTCGATCCAACACCCAAGGCGTGTTGGGCCCATTAGATGCCCACCTTGTGTCTATTTGACCCATTTTGGTCAATAAAAGACAATCATGCTTATTTGTTTAAATTTGAAGGATATATACGTTATTTGAAAAATCATTGTCCTCTAGGGTAAGAGGTAGATTATAGCTTATTCTAGCCGAAGGAACAACTTTCACAAGCTACTAGTCCATCTAAAGGAGTCGACACTCGAAGATGACAAGAAGTTCAAGACGAAGGTCCTTCCATTGAAGCATAGTTTAAGATTGTACCCCTGCGCGGGACTGATTATTTTGTATCCCATTTTCCCTACTATGTACCCCCATTCAGTTTATTTACAAAACATGTATAAATTTAAGTTTTGGGGGCAATGAAATATTTCAAATGACGTATACATCCCTCAAATCATTAGGCCTACCCTTGGCACAAAAAGGTCACATATCTGTTTAGAATACGCAATAATTGTTTATCTGTTAGAACTGTTTGTGTGATTATGTTGCTTTATTTGGAGATGTTCTAGCCTATTCTTTTGGAAATTCTCTAGACACCCCTAAGCACAAATATCAAGTCACTATAAAAATGTGTCCAAATACTCTTCGAGTCTGTAGCTTCCCAACAAAATTTGAACTTCACTTTTCTAATGTTACTTTCTCATATCAGAAAAAGATTCACCGTCTCAAATTGAAAAGAGATTCAAGGGTCGAACTACGTAGGACCTGAATTCTCCCTCGTGAGATACGTAGGCAGCCTTTCAAGGCTCGGTCCCTATTTTGAGAAATTTTATTTTTTCCAACTCTTGCAAGGAGACTAGAGTTTCACATCAACCGAAAATAAAAAATATGACAATAAATGATACGTTCGACTTTGTCTCGACTCAAGTTGACGTTTCTAATTCACTAAGCTCAAAATCAAATAGACAAATTCCTGTCTATTTAGTCATTTCTCTAAATACGTGGGCTACTTTATCTTCAAGTGGAGCAACTCTTATGTGCTTGTGGTCATATGTGTGATATTTTGTATTTTTTTATCATCTACATAGACTAACACGTTTATCTTTTGAGTTATTTTTCTTTGTCAGGTACTTAGAACTGGTCTGTGTTGATAAGTTGGGTCGTCATCCTTATTTCACAAGATCTAAG